CCCGCCTGCCCCCACGCCCCCTCCATCCCCAAAACCATTAACGCCGACAAGCCCCACCTCCTGCCCAACCCCACCGCCGCCGCCGTTGGCGCCGCACACAGGGCGGCGGCGCAGGGCGGACGCGGCCTTGAGGCTCTGCTGCATCGCAAAAAGCTCGCGTTGGATGAGCTGCAGCTGCTCGGCCTCGTCCAGCGCCTCCCACCCTGCCGGCGCTGAGTCAGCGCCCCCGCTGCCGCCTGGCTGGGGCACACCGCCCCCGCCCCCCTCCGCCCGCGCGTTCTCCGGCGGCGGGCCGCCGTCCGGCGCTTCGACGCCGCCGCTGCCGCTGCTGTCGCCGCTGCTGTCGCCGCTGCTGCCGCTGCCACTGCTTCCAGCCTCGTGCGGCGTCCCGGTGCTGGCGCCGCGGCCGTGGCGGTTGGCAGGAGCAAAGAAATGGCCGCCGCCATTGCCGTCAGCAGCATCGAAACCAAACACACGCGGCTCGGCGGCGCCGGCATGCATGAGGCCGCACGGTCCCTCATCACCACCAAAGGGCGGCGCGGCGGCAAGGGCCGCGGCTGCGTCCGCGGCGGGCGCGCGCCGCGGGTCGTCAGGCGGGGGTGGCAGCGGCGGCAGCGCCGCTGCCGAGCCAGGTGCGGGCGGCGCGAGATGCTCCACACTCGGTGGTGGCGGCGGCGGCAGCGCCGGCGCCGGCACTGGCATAGGCGGCGTTGGAGGGAGACCGTTCAAGGCATCGCCGGCCGCCTCGGGGCTGGCGCCTCCCACCAGCTCCCCAGCTTCCGCTTGCGGCGCCCCCGACAATGGCGCCACCTCCTCCCACCCGCCTCCGCCGCCATCAGGTGCGGGTGCACCGCCGCGGCCCTCCTGCTGCAAGGTAGGGAGGCACAGCGGCACTGCTGCGCTGGCCCCCACGCCGGCGCTGAGCAGCACCTCCCAATGGGCCGCGTCCTCGTCAGCCCCGCAACCGCCGCCGCCGCCGCCAGCGGCCGGCTCGGGCCCGCGCCGGACGAGCGCCAGCGCGGACGCCGCCAGCGCGGCCGCGGCCGCCGCAGCGGGGTGCACCGGCGACGCGCTGCCCCCCTGCCCAAAATCCAAAGACGAGCCGCCCTCCCCGCTGCCGCTGCCGCCGCCGCCACCGTCAAGGGGGCGCGGCTGCGAGGGCGCCGCGGCCGCCACGGCAGCTGCCGCGGCGGCAGCTGCCGCCGACCACTCCTCCACCTCCCGCTCGCAGCCCAGCACCGGCACCCCCAGCTCCCGCAGCTTCCCGGCAGCTGCCCGCGTCGCGGAGATGCCGCCCGGCGCCGCCGCGGCCGCCGCAGCGCGCGCGGCGCGGACGGCCGGGCCGAACACGCGGTGGCGCGGGCGCCGGGTGCCCAGCACTGCCGCCTGCACCGGCCCCAAGTGCAGCGCCAGCTGCAGACCCACAGAGGCGACCCCCAGCGACCCCACCCCATCCCCCATCCCGTCCTCGCCGCCGCCGCCGCCACTGTCGCCGCTTTCGCTCTTGCTGCCCCGCCGCTGCCGCGCCAGCTGGC